CTCTCTACTTTAATGTCTCCACAAGAAGATTTGAAAGAAACTGCACTAGACTGTGACACAACAGAAAGAATATGGAAAAAAAAAATCACATACACACCAAATATATATTTATTTATTTATCATTGGCTTTTCTTTTCTGAGAATCTTGTTTTCTATAGATAAAAGACTGCTGCACCATGCTGCTTATCAACAGTAAGATTGACCATATGAGTAAAAAGAGAAAGTCTGTTTAGGCTAAATTTCTGTCTTCATTAAGGACAGTGACTGGATGCAAGGGAAAGAATATGAGTGTTTCCTCCTAATACTTTCTTAGTCTTCTACTCTTACTAGCTCGTGGACTTCTTGAATTGCATACTGTTTGTCTGTATTTAGTAAGTCTTAGTGGATTTATCTTTCATGGACTTGTTCTAGATTCATACAAATATTCTACGTGCATAACTTCCCATGAAACCCATGCACCTTTACCTTTTGTTTCTTTATTTTTGAACCTAATGCTATCACTTTGTGGGTTTTATTCTTTAAAAAGATAGAGTCAGTCTATCCCTACCCACCATGCCACTCATAATTTTGTAAACCACTTTATATAACCCCTCCACCAATTTTTGCTTTTCCAGGCCAAGAGCTCCTTGCTGACCTGGTTGTTCCTCATGTGGAACCTATTCCATGCCCCTTCCCTCATGCCCTTCTCTCAGGACATAAGATAGCAGAATGAGACATGCACTATTCAAGCTGTCAGTGAACCACAGATTTATACAGTGGTGTAATGATGTTCTGTTTTATTGTCTTCTCCTTTCCTAATAATTTCAAACACCATTCCATTGTTTTTGACTGCTAGTGAGTATTGATACATAAAACCAGCCATGCAGGAACACATAACTTCTCACTTGTTTGTTCAAATCTAACAAACTGTTCAGCATAGAGAATGCAATTGCTACTTGATTTGGATTTTACTTCATTTTTTTTTCTTCTTCCTCCTACCCACTCTCTGAAGACCTATCATAAGAAAGAATTAGGGTCTTAAAATGGCTGTGGGCCCTGTATGCATAAAATTTAGTAGACACTTTAAATAATTAATTTGGTAAAAAATTATTTTGTAGAAGTATTAAATGGTATATTTCTCAGCAATTAAATTTTCCTCTTTTCTTTAATAACATATTTAAATAATGTCACACTTATAAAATTATTCATAGGACCTGTTAATGTAAGTAATTCAGTTTAAAGCTTACTGAATTAATCCTTAACGTGATTAATTTTTACATTTAAAAAAATACAGAATAATTGACTAATTATTATAATGGATTTGCCATGGTCATCAGTTAAATTTGAGTAATAAATATAGGGTTAAGCAGCTGATTCATTCTATAGCCAGAATTCCATGGCCTTTGCTATGTTGTTGCATTTAATCTTGTGTTATCTAAATTTAAAAAAAAAAATAAATTACAGGTTTTTAAAATACTTTAATTACCATGTTTTGTCAAAAAAAAAAAAAAAATGAAGTTGTCTTCTTTGAAAACTGATTTTATTTTATTTTTTCCTGCTTTGTCTTTTCATTCTTACGTGTGTGTGATAGAAAATCAGAAATACATAGGAAAAGTAGTTAACAAAAAACTAGAGAAGAGGTTCTGTCTTTCTTGTAGATTTTTTTTCCCACGTATTTCATGTATGTTAGTCCTCTTTTTAATGCTCACCATCTTCAATCCTTATTTTTCATTTTTCATGGTTAGACCTCATCCATTTCTTTTTTCCACTGAATTATTAACATCTTGTCTACCTGTCAGTCAAAGAAAGTGTAGTTGTATTCTTTGTATTCTACAGTTGTATTCATTGTATTCTAAAATCTTGAGGTACAGCACTTTATTTTTTCCTTATGTGTGCCAGCCTTCCCCATTGCGGTGGGTCAGTGACATCTGTCACGTGAAGCTCAGGTGGCCCTTTGCTCTGTCTACTGCTTTGTGCCAATAAATATTGAGTATGTGCTCTTCAGACCAAATTTCAGTATTTAGTGTTTGTGATAGCCATCTGTTGTGAGCATGAACACATGTACATGAACACAGAGGTAAACTTCTCTGTGGTCAGATGTAGGTGTCACTGTGAAAGTTTCCAAACTCATTGAGTTTCATTTTACTTTTAGATAATAACTTCAAGAATCTCTTAGTTATTTGCTGTCTATTGTATTCTAACAGATTCTGGCCAAATCACCCTGTAACTGTCTCTGATTGATAGATTTTGCTTCAAGGTGTCTGCTAGATTAGTTTTGCAAAACTTCTCTCCTGCAAGAAACCGTTAGAAAGTCACCTACCCCTTTTACAATTGCATTTGAGAGACGTCAGATAGCAATTATTTAATCAGTATAATGGCTCTCCCATTAAGTAGTGATGGTTCTATATTTATTGAAGTAAAATCAGGTAAAATGTCTTGTATAAATATAGGTCATCCGTGGTTACCTTTCCCAAATACAAATCTCATTTATAAAATAAATTAGTTTGAAATTACCTAGTTTCCAAAAGACCACTTTGATTGGATTCATCGATTCAGTTATTTATTATTTGAGCCCATAATTTGCTGGGATTAATCTCATGTTGAAGGGCCAATAATTACTCAGGGCATCTCATTAGTCTTTTACAAAATGGCATTTTTACTTACTTTTGGTCTTTTCAAACTTTTCTGTTGATTTGTAACTTCTCAGTGTAGAAAGTTCTTAATTATTTTTTTTTCCAAAACTCCTAGATGCAGAATTTTAAAATATGTATCTGAAAGCTAATGTTTTATATTCTATTTACATAGAGTACATTCAAACATCATTTATAGTTTTTAATTGATCATTTCTGTCTTTTTGTTTTATTGATCAGTTTTTCTTCTGGTAGAAGAGTGACAGTATTGGTACTATTCTGCCTGTTTCTAATAAACTTGGAAATTCTTTGTTTCTATCGATCATTTTTCTATCAAATACTTATTCTTCTTTTTATTGTTTAATCAGTTTTCTGCATCATCATTTCTAACTAGTAGCATTTTCCATGTTTGTATATTAGTTGTACATTTATATGCTTATATACACAGGGATATTCATGTAGTATAAGTTAAAGTATAATATGTATAAGGCATATAGTATTTCAATTTTATATATTGATTTAAAATATATACATATTTCAATTTTAGTTTCTCAAAATATGTATATTTTAAATCTACCCATGGCTTTCTCTTCTAACTTTTATATGTTAGACAGCTATTAAAATATTCTTCAACAAGTCCCTTCTCCCAGTCACTGTATTTTTTTTCCTATTGCTATTCCTTCTTCAAAGTGTGGTAATTATTCTAAGCCCTTATCTAGCAGCCAGTATGCATATGTGTATGCACATATTTGTATACATGTATACATATATGTATGTGCATATTTATTTATTTTTATGGCTGCTTATAATTGAAAGTAGTAAAAGTAGCCATATCATTATTTGTAACTACAGAGGCATTACACTAAAAAGCAAGTATTCTTTATTCTTCTATCCCTTTACAAATAAAATTAAAAAAAAAAAAAAAGAATTCTCTTCCCCAAGGATAGAAGCTAATCCTTTATCATTCCCCACCCTGATTTGTTATAAATAAGATTAAACACTACTGTCTAAATAAAGATGATTAACCATTCTTAAAATTAACAATTTGCTAAGAATCGAAAATTCACCTTACAGCAACATGGAAATGGTGTGACAAAAAAATTAACAGCATGAGGGACTCTTAACAACAGCTATAACAAATACCATAGTTAACTTACCCCAAATTAGCAGAAATAGATGCTTTATTTTACTATTTACCACTGTCCCTCGGTTCTGGTTTCTTTTGAGGATACGTACTGAATTAAAACTTAATATACTTCATTTTTGATTCTTTGAAAATGCACCTATGTTATAATTGTCTGTAGGTCATGTACCAACAGGGCATGATTATTCTCCTAATGAAATGGAAGTCATTTGGCCTTCAACCTCACAGAATTTAGTATGCACCTGAGGCACAGATTAATGGTCTGATAATGCATCCCATTTAATGCCCCATTCCTTAAATTAACCAGTCCAAGTGCTCATTGAGAAACTATCCAATAAATAAGTGAAAAAGGCAGCACCTGTTATGACTGGTTGAGTACCTGGTATTAAAGTATCTGGAAATAGAAAGCTTTCTTTGAAATTTAAGTACTGTTTCAAAATCTGTGCTGTAGGTTTTCTAGCTGTTAGGACTGTAGAAGAGAAGTTCCTAAGGCTTTGTGTATAATGGGTCAGAAAAGTGGAGGGGTGCTGTGCGGGGAAGAAAAAAAAATAAAATTAACTAGGCTTTCATGTCTGCACAATCAAAGGCCCTCTAATACTAATGAAGAGGGTTCATCATCTATTAAATGAAGACTTGCCACAACTGTGGTGTGGTGGGTGCTGTGCTGTGACAGACTCTCTTCAACACTAAGGCTGAGGCAGTGGGGCAGGGGAATGTGTCTCGATGTGCCTTTGACTTTGGGATGGACCTGTGTCTTAAACACTTCTGTTCTTCCTCTGTCTACTGTTATGGTCCCAGCAAGCATCATGTTCCCTCCAAGATGCATGCAACAACCAAAATGTCCTTCTGCCAGCCACAAAGAACAGCTTTAAGGCTACATATGCAAGGCCCAAAATATACCCTACAGGAATAACTGCTAGAAGCATACCCCCTCCCCAAAAAAATATATTTACTCTACTACCTTAAGGGGTAATACTATGTATTGTTTTAATTGTTTAATGTCTAAAAGCTTAGCTTATGAGGGCTCTAGCAGGATCTTTATAAATACCTACATAATGAAGAAGCTCTAAAATGCAATCTAGATTATTGGGCTGAAATATACATAACACAGTTTGCTCATTTTGTTCTGCTCTCCTTTAAGATTTCTATCCTTTGTGCTTATTGTTGTTAGCTCCTTTGCATGTGTTGTTAAATGCTGTCCATGATATTGACAGGTTGTGTGTTTTTTTTTCCTTTGCATGCATCTGTTCAACGATCAAATTTAGAATCTTATAAATAGAACTAAGCTCATCTCTGTTAAAAGCAAGAGGATATTTTAGGTGTTTTCCAACACGTAAATTCAACAGACTGGAGTTCCCATCGAATATATTAAAAAGTAAGTAACCTTAGCCCCAACATTTTTGAAAATAACTTTTATCTTTTCTGAACTGTACCACACAGATTGCAGCATACCTAGTTAAGTAATTATTTAATTCCTCATAGTGATAGCAAAGGACATTAGAGACTTTCTGTAATTGAACTATTAGGCTGGAAGTACCAACTACAATTTTTAAATATAATCCATGTAAAATCTTTATTAAACAAATGTATAATTGGCCTGAAATTACAAATAAAATGACAGTCAATAATTTAGTACAATTAATTTGCAGTAATTCGTGTTTACAATATAGAAGTTGTTTTCTTTCCTAAATTTAGAAATCCTGAATGATTGCTCAGCAGTAAAGAAAATAATATTATATAAGTCTAATTTCTACTTTGAATGTTCCAGATAAATGAAGAAATTAGGACACCACAGATTTAACGTGACTATGGAATACAGTTTAGAAACTTTAATATGCAGTATTCAAGGTCCCTGATGAAATACTAATCTGTGTAACTTTTACCTTACAAACAGATTTGCAAAGATCTTTTCTGTAAGCACTATGTACCTGATAAATGTAGATATGCACTAAAAGTGAAAAGAGTGTTTTGGCCAGTGGCACATGGGATGTTGGAAAAGAAGACAAAAGTAATGAAAAGAGGAAATATTAGGGGACAGTAATATCGTACGTGAAAATCTAAGTGAATCATACATGGTTATGGTTATGAGTCAGGTAATTTAGCTTCATATGTTTTCAGAGTTTATCCACTTAAATGTTAGCTAACTGGTGAAACACATACCTCATCTGTGCATTATAGATGTATACATCTAGGCAAAGGTCCCACTCAGAACTTTGCTTAAAACACCAAAGTCTGAAGGAGAGAGAGCTCAAAGGGATCTTAGCCACTTGATGTGAGGGACTAAAGATGAGCACAAAGTAAAATAAAATAAAAAGTAAAGTAAAAGTAAAGACCATCATAAAGATAACAATGAGGTGAAACAGAGTCAGTTCTTAATCTTATGGATACTCTTATTCAGGGCATGGAATTAATTATCTTAGTATACCTTGTAATTTTGATGATGTTCTGTGGATTTATAGTTAGCTGTGTTAATAACATAAGAAACAGCTAAACCTAATCTAAGAATTACTAAAACATCTGTGCAATTTAAAACACTGTATGACTATAAAAGCAAAGGTACCTGATGTTTTCGAGAGCCAATGTGCCTCTTATTTCTTATGCTGCTTACTTATGACCTAGACAACCAGTCCTGCCTATACACAGGATATGCAATGTAGTCCCATTGTGTGCAAAATTAAAATAGTTCAAAACCAGGAAGGACCCTCATGTACAAGAGTGAGTCCTCAAAGATATCCTAGGTTACCTCATAGAAGAGAAAATAGCCTAATTCTTCCTGTCTTAGTATAATCAGCCTGTGAATACAGAGCTGAGTATGGGTCAGCAGGAATGAAAGATGTGTTTACCACATTTTCTTTAATATACAATCCTCCTATGCTATACTCTTCAAAGTCATGTAGCTAACCAGTAAGAATGTTTCCCTGGTATTCTTAATATTCCAGCTACAGTTTCCCTTAAAGTAAATCACAATTGCTGTGACTATATATATATATATATATATACACTATTATTTTTTTCCCCAGTATTTTCAGATGGTCATGTGTAAAAATGCAAAACACAAAAAGATAAAAATAGTAATTGGTTTTAAAAACTAAAATAGTTCTTAAATCCCCTGATTTGTAAGCATTCAGACTTGACCACAGTTTTCTTTTAAAATAAGAAAATGAAGGGTTTAAAATAATAGTTTACTCAATATGCATTCTTTCAAAATTACTTAAGTAATTTTTGATAACACTAACAAAGCAGGATGTCAAGTGGTAGTTATTGGAGTAAATTTCTTTCTCCATTCTTATTCTATGTAAATTTTTTTATACAGTAATGTGGTAACAGAAGTTTAATTTCTCTTGTTATACAAGAAAAAAATAGTCCATTTTTGTCAGTTAAAATTTATCATGAGTTTCTACAAAAAAAACTCTCTTGAGTTTGTGGCTTAGTTATAGTAGTAAACTTTTAAGTTTACTATTTCCTTTTCAGGTTAGGAAAGGTCAAAACATAGATATTTCCTTGCTCAAAATACTATTTTATCAATATTCACCATCTTTTTTCTCACCAGAATGTCAAATTTTGAGCAGTTTCACTGTGACTTTTACCAGTCCAATTACACCATAGATGACCAAGAAGAAGGTTACAGCAGTTATGGGTCTAGCGAAAATCTTAGTGCAAGAAGAAAGTAAGTATGCTTATACATATATATGTGTGTGTATATATATTTAAAAATTCAGATGAAATTAATGACAAAAGCATGCAATTGCAACAGAAGGATTGTGTAATCAACACAGCTGAAGTTTTAAGGGAGAAATAGAAATACAGTAGACAGATGGAAAGAATCCTATTATTTCATTTTTCCATATATTTTTTTTGAAATCTTTTGGTGACTTCTGTCCCTGGGAGAGTGACACTGAAGAAAAGAAGTTCTGAGTTTCCCTTTAAGGAGACTTCTACTTGCAGGAGTCTGGACATTGCTACAGTCTTCCTGTTCAGCAACTGATGGATCTGGCTGGTCCCAGGGCTTGCAGAGAGTTGAAATGGCACAGACCAGGTCAAATCAACAGCGTTCCTCCCCGTTGTCTTGTTAGGTATCCTGACAAAAAAAAACACAACTGCTTAAAGCTAAACAGCCAAGGCTCTTTAGTCACTTTTGCCTGTGCTGGTAGTGCTCTACAGAACCTGCATCTCACTTCTGGAAAATCTAAGGAAACAAAGAATAGTTTTGGCTAAAGCACTGAGATGGAAGTTAAAGGATGAGAGATTGGCTCTAGCTGTCCCTGTGCCTTCTGGTCATACAGAAATAAAATCATATATAATAATAATTAGGGAATCACAGAAAATAGAGCGGGAAGGAGTTTCAGATCATCTAGACTTTCACCATGTCATAATTACTTAAAATTAAACCTTTCCTACCCCCTAAAGTTTTGGTATCTGTGCTACTATATAGTTGAAAATGTAAGTCATGGCACATGGCTGAGCAATTCTAAGGTGCCATGAAGTTGCTCATTGCCATTACTTGTTTTACTGCAATTTGTTTCTTGTCTCAGGTGCCAGATAGGAGACCAACCTCCAGCTAATGCTTTTGTCCCCTCGGAAATGCTTCTGCCCTCTCAGAGTTACACGGGTCAGATTTTACAGCCAACATACAGTCCCAACACACTCTCTCACCTTAGCTACACTGATGGTTTTGATGAGGAACCTCCTTTGCTAGAAGGTAAAAATAAAACTAAGGACGATGCATGTACATGTGCTTTTGTTTGCTAAGCTGCATCACTCACTAGAGCATCTACAGCAGAACTACCCTGCCTGGCTCTTAAGCTTGTTTCTGTGTATGCAGCCTGTATGAAATTCAGTCATCAGTCCCTAGTCCCCAAGCCTACATTTTCTTTTCTGAGATCTGCAGGGATTCATTTGTTCTTATGACATACAGAGTGTACGCTTTACTACCACTAGATGACAGCATAACAATAAGTTTTGCATTCACATTTCCAAATATTTTCTCCAATCTGTGTTTACATGCATATTGGAACATCTATAATTAATAAACATCGATAACAATTTCTTTTGCATATCTAGTAATAAATTTAATAGTTCAAAGATGCTAAATAGCTTGCTTCAGTGGGAAAGAAATTGAAAAAGCTGCATTCAGTTTCAATTAGTTGAACGTTTAACTACATGAACAATATCATTCTTTATGATGATTGAACCATCCTAGTGTTAGTGGTTGATTTGTAGATGATCATTTACCTTACAAAATACTGGTACTGCATTAAATTTAAAAAAAAAAAAAAAAAAAAAAAAAAAAGAGAGAGAGAGAGAAATTGTTGGTGATTACTTCAGCATAATATTAAAAGATCATATGCAGCCTGCTTTTGTATTCTAGAAGACAAATGAATATTTTGCTTCTTCAAAAATACTACTAAACACTTAAAATAGCAAGATATTTGATTTGAAACAGGTAGCTGCTACACCTCCAGTTCTTGATTCTTCGAGTGCTTAACTCCAGAGGCAGCTCACCCTGTGAAAAGGATGCTGAAATACAACTGCTTCTGATCCACAGTGCTGCAGAGATGTTCATGACTGTGTGCCAAATAAATCTGACCAAAGACAAACATTTTAATACAGAACAACTTTATTTATATAACGTTTTGGCTCAGCTTGAAATGATGAATTGGTGGAATAAGGTAAAGATTTAACTTTCCAAACAATTCTAACACATTGCCAGTTTCAGTAATTCTGGCACCCAGTTCTGAACCTAGCTTTTCCTTGTTGGAGCATCTTAAGGAAATGATTGTTCTTGCAAGCTGAAGTGTTTCCACAGAAGTTTTAAGAGAAATCTTTGCCCCAGTAAAGTTAGTGGCAGAATTCCCATTGGCTTTAATGGGGAAGAATTTTGTTCTCTTTTCAGGGGTTCTCAGTAATTACTTTTTAAATGCAAAAAGCTTATAAAGCAGTCTATGAAGAATTATTAACTTGCCTTGAAGGGAAGAATGTCATTTTTAAGTGCCTCTGGCACTTCAGGCTTAAGATACATCTCTTGTCAGATTTACCAGAATTAAAGCATATATCTGTGTCTTCAGTGTTTCAGGGTATCTTGAATTCTGCAGTTACTGTTAATTAGCATATTTTTCAACATCTGACTTAGTGTAGCTTATATATATATATAAGTTTAAAAATACATATATAGGAAAACAAATATTAACTCCAAAATGCTAAAGGCATTTTTTGGTTCACTGGATGTAATAAATATTGCCAATTTGAAATCAGAGCTGACTCTCAAATATACTGGATGAGTAGGTACAACATCTTCATACTACAGTATATGTCATCCTATAATATTATCTTCATTAAAGCGATTAATTTGTTTTGTTCTTTTGGGGATTTGTGATATGCAATGAGTTTTTGTAAAAGTGTTGTTTTCTTGTAAGCAATTAAATGTCGTGGAATTTCTCATTGCAGAACTTGGGATCAATTTTGAGCATATATGGCAAAAAACCTTAACAGTTCTAAATCCGATGAAACCTGCAGATGGCAGCATTATGAATGAGACGGACCTCACAGGACCTCTGGTTTTCTGTTTGGCCCTTGGAGCAACGTTGCTGCTGGTAGGATGTGCTAGAAACTTACGGGATTCCTCTTCTAACAAGATAACACCTTGGTGGTAATATATGTGAAATAACAGAAGATGTAGTACTGGCATAAAATGAGTCATTTGCTGCCATTTGTCCTGAGATTTTATATAAAAGGTCTCCTTGCTTTAAAGTACATAATGCTTAATTGCAATGTGGATGTAATACAAGTGAAGTGATGTATTACATCACTTACATCACTTACAGTGGAAATATTTTTATTTTTTTTTTGAGGGGGAACGAGGGGGAAGTGTGTTTGATATGAACAAAGGACAGATTTGCACTGTGTATATATTGGAGAGGCTCTGAGCACTTGACACATGGCAGTGTGACCTAGATAGGACCTTACAGGGAGTTTTCAAAGGAGGGAATAAAAAGGTGTGGCACACCAGACCAGTTTTTCTAATGCTCTTGCTACTGTTTATAAATTACCTTCCCTCATGGTTATTCTGGGGAGTTTAGAAATCAATATCAAAAATATTTTTATGTAACTAAAATCATTCCAAAAAGAAAATAGAAACTTCTTTCCATTTCCCCCTCAAATTTGCAATACCTTTCTATAAATTTTGCTATCACTTTCTTAATTTATATTCATTTTTTATATCATCTGCAAAACCAAATATGATAGCCTGGATTTAGCCTCTTTTGTCTTTATGAATAGAGCTTTCATACAGGAGGAATGTTGAAACAGAGACTGTACACTACTCCAAATTCATCTATTTATCACTGACAACAGGGGCTTTACAGTGCTGCCGAAGTACAGCTCTGATTGTTGGCAACAATTTGTCTGACAGGAATAAGATGGGACTGTTCTGGGAAGGGTTTTGCTGCTCTAACAACTGAGGTGAGAGAAATGGGACTCTAATTCTCCATTTCCTGTATGATAAATTGTGCTGAATCAGGAGACTCCTGCAAGTTCTTACTCAATTTGTAATGTCAGTCCAGTACCTTGAATGTGAGAACTGCAATATAAAAGGCAAGTGTTAGTATTTATGCCCCTATAAAAATAAAAATCTTTTAAAAGGGTAAAAGCATCAGGAGGAAATGGAATAAAGGGAAAAGAAGGTAGGAAGCCAGAGAAGACAGGCATAAGGGGAAAAGCTTTGAATTGATTATAGCCAGGAGGATGGAAGGAAAGCAAAAAGGAAAAAAAAAAAAAAAAAAAGACAGTTGCTGTTGATTTTTCTTCATGGACAGTGAAAAATTGTAATGAATATTTAACTACTATAATCAAAATAAAGCATTTTAATTACCATATTTATTCTAAGATATTAAACATTTTAAGTGTCATTAGAAAAACAACTATTTTCAGTACTCCAGCTTTTGGTCAGAAGAGCTCCTCTGACACAGCCTAGTGTTTTTGTGCCACAACTTCACAGAAAAATGTATATGAGATTTCCACCACCATCTTATAAATTCAGGCCTGCTCATTTTTATTTTGGATACATTTGAATACTAAAGTGGCTCTTCAGCCATGTCAACATGATGTCCTTCTGTACTTGAAGAATTCTTTTTTCATAACAGCAGGAATATAATCCGGTTGAGAGCTCATTTTCAAAAATAATTTATAATTTTTTTTTTTTTTTTTTAATTTTTGAAAAATATGCAAAGATATTTTTCAAACAGTAGCACTACTTCTGAAACACAGAGAAAAGGAGAAAGGCTTTGGGTCTTCTGTATGCTGGCAGCAAGCAGGGCAGCCCCATTGCAAGGAGAAAAACAACAGCAGTGCGAAAGTTAGCATGCTTTGCATTTTACATAGTCATTTGTCATCGGTCTTCTCCATACCCTGAAAGTAAGAGTAGCAGTACCCACTCCAGGCAGATGCAAACAAGGTCTGACTTTCTTCTAACCTTGTTCCTTGTGCAGGACAAATTTAGTGCTTTCAATTCATCAAAGCCTGCCAGGCTAATCAAGCCTGATTCGGGTTTTGCTTACAATGCTGTGAACTGGGAGTATTCCCATGTGCGTGAGTCAGTGTAGAATTTACATAAGTTAGGAACAGTGAGAATCGGAACCAACACAGTTCAGCTGCTTTTTTCACTCTCTCTGGTTCCCTGCACCACAAATCAAGCATTGCACCAAGTGGTAGATTTCAGTTGGCTGCTCCTGCTAGTGCCATCCCTCTCTCGGTAATTTGGTAGTCTTAGATTAAGCTGCTAAATAGTGCTGTGTGGAATAATTAAAAACACTGAAACAAACAGCTTAAAATATTAGCTTACAGTAGTTGTATCTCTTTGAGGCAGAGTTTTTCTTAGTAGGTTGATAGTAAATGCTGCCCCAAACAGCTGCAGATGTTATGCTTACTACAAAACTTTAATGACTGAAATTGTGGCAGAAGATAGTCTGAGCTAGTATTGCTCTTCCACACCTTCTCTAGTTGTCATTAATTTGGTGAACAATTCTTTCCTAACTGTTTTAGACCAGTAGTATGGAAATGCCAGCAAAGGACTCTGTACCTAAATAAGATTTCTTATGCTGCTAGTTCAGGGATGGATTATTCTATCCATGCTTTATGGTGGCATGCACTGTCAGGAGGAAGGCCAGCACTCGGAACAATGTGAGGATATGGGCAACCTGGCTGTACATAACCTCAGCCCAAGGACTGGAACCAGAGGAGAGTTCAGCAATGAGCCAGTCTGAGTCGAAATACAGGGTAAGAGTGCTGATGGAGTGGCAGACCTTACTAGGTCTGCAACTTTAGGACTTCCAATATTGTGTCACCACTACATTAGGCTCTCTCCTCTGCATTGCTTTATATCTGCCCAGCTCAAATATTGTTGGCAGACGGTGATTGATTCCCACCAAAAGAAGGATATAGGAAGGTGGGGCAGAGAAGGAAGGTCCTCAAAAATGGTTGATTTCCCCCAGGATTATTTAAAACACGTGGATGAGTAGATCCTCTCAATCCTCCTTAACCATCATGGAGAAGATACTTGGAAATATTCCAAGCCAGTAAAAATCTTCAATAATATTTCCACCTTATCTGTCACAAGAGAATCCAACCCTAAACTAAAAAAATAATTTAAAGCTGGGAACCTGTCTTAGTTTTGATTCTCATGCATTTTATCCTATGCAATACATGTGCAATATATAGGTGTATACACAAACACACCTGTGGTTTAAGTGTGTATATATGTATTGTTATGTGTTAAAGAGATGATGTACCACTGCCACCACCTTTTTTTTTTTTTTTTCTTTTTTATGTTGAGGAGTTTATTTCAAAGTACAGAGTTGAGAGTTGAGCCCCAGGTTTGATCTATCTTCTTCATAAATGCTTGTTATCTTCAGGATACAAAGTTCTAAGACAAAATGAACAAAACCGTATTTCTCCCAGATCACTGGTTATTTCTGATGTACAGATGTTAAAATCACAGTATTGCATACCTGGCATTCAGTGGTTCATTTGTTAGAACCTTGAAGAGAGGGGAAAAGATTTAACAATCTATTGGGAGTGAGCAATGCTCTCATGTCTGGAGGTGATCCTCTGAAACTATGGCAGCAGATGAAGAAATTGGTGGTGTTGTGGCCACTGTAGTACTAGTTTTGTGTATAAATTATAGAACATCAGGCTCCAGGCTGTCAGACTGGTACCTTTCACAGGCACTAAACTCACACAAAGGAATAAAACCTGGAAGAAAAACAAACAACCAAACAACAACAAAACACCTGGGGAATTTTTCTTTCACTGGAGCACAAAAGAACACAAGCTGACAGTTACTACTACAGTAGTAAAAAAAAAAAAAAAAAAAAAAAACAAACAAAAAAAAAAAAGGTTTTTTTTTTTATTGTTTGTTTGTTTGAAAGCCTGCTTAAAGCTGTAATAAAATGAAAAGCATATAAAGTAAGTGGGGTTATCATTTTACTTAGGATGCTTTTCCACAACCCTCTGTATTGAAATTGTAAAGATTTTAATTTCTAATCTTTGAAATTGTAAAGAATACATTTTCTTCCTAATGGAAAAATGTGTTTTCCATGTCCATAATTTCTTCTCAGTTTGTTCCAAGTTAGACCTTTCCAAGGCTCTCTAACCAACTCATGTTGTTCCTCAGAGTCCAAAGACAGTAAGACTGAGAAACAGCCTTATAACTTTACATTAGTGACAAGCACATTCTCACAATTTCATCTTGGAATGTTTTGATGCAAAAATCACCCAAAAGGAGCAGTCATGATTTACATTTGAACCAATGTAGGCAAAGTGGGAAGAAAGGGATTGTCAAAAAGAAAAAGGAACAAACTTAGTGCTTGCCTTCTGACAGCCCACCATCTTTCAATCTCTTTTTTACTTCCAACACTTACTTGCTTATATTTTTTCCAGGCAGGAAAAGTTCACTTTGGCTATGTGTATGGTGTGAGTGCCATTGGGTGCCTTGCTATACATGCACTACTGAACCTGATGAGCATCTCTGGAGTCTCACATGGCTGCGTTGCAAGTGTTTTGGGATATTGCCTGCTACCCATGGTGATTCTGTCCACTTCTGCAGTTGTCTTCTCACTACAGTAAGTATCAGTGCATGGCAGCAGGATTCATATGAAGCACAGAATGTTAGAAGGCTAGTGTCATGCAAAACATTTTGGAAATAGTTGTCTAGTGAATTTGGGCTTCCAAGTTTTACTGAAGAAAAACACCGTTCTCTCTCTGTGTGTGTATAGATGAAAATGGGCAAAATGGAAGAGGGTGGGGTGTCTGTGTTTGATAGAGGTTATATAAAATAATTTTAATAAAAGTCCTTAAATCCATTGTTTTCCACTTGGACCGAGAGTGGCTTTGATTTTTGCAGCAGCCTCAAATGTGCTTTTTATTTTGAAGAGCCAACAGTGACTAAACTCAGCATCAATTTTAAAAGCAATTCACAGACTTTGGTTTTATATAGCTGGTTCTCCTGATCCTTTTTGTTGCTGTTGTTGTTGTTGTTCATAGTATCAGGCTCCCATCCTTGTATTTCCTTTCCTTCTGTAGACTGACTTCTGTGTGACAGAATGAAATAATCAGGCAACCCTTAATGATCTAGAGCATTAGGAGAAACGCTTAAGATATAATAGTCATAATAGTAATGGTATAATTGCTTTGAAAAAAACAAATGCATTGTTGTATGTATCTGTGTGTGTGTGTGTGTAGGAGTTCTCAGTAATATACATATGAATTAGGAAATTTGCATGCAAGCCTTTCCTTTCTTCTCATTCTGTAAACCTCTTGAGATACAGATTGTTGACCTCCCTGTTCACATACAGCAAAGTACAAGGAAGCTCCAGGTCTTGCCTGAAGGCTTTGAGCAGTGCTTTTTTTTTTTTTTTTTTTGTAGTTAACACATAGTTAATAATGGTACACCTCTTCAGTCTTTCTGAACACGTTTTAAACCTTCCAATCTGCAAATTATGGGACTTACCAGTTGATGAGCAAGAAAGTGACCCTAGTTTTGACCCTGTTTTACATGGTAAAGCAGCAATTTTATGTATGTGTTTATTTTTTAAAGAAATGATATAGTGGTATCAAGATTTTAGCACAATCCTTATTGCATGTTTCTGCAGTGCTATGATGGGTTAGCCTGACCATATTCCGTGTATTCAAGTGTTTCTGAGCTGTCCTTGACAAGATGGACAGCAGTGACACCAAAGAAACCACTCATTCTCTGTTCTCCTACGCTTCCCATATTTGCTTGATTAACCTGTTTAATAATCCACCTGAATAAAAGGTGTTGATATGTAATCATAGGACAGATGGGGCTAACTTGAAACCAGCTGTTAGAACTGCACAGGGTACTGTTGTCTATACAAGGAATTCCCAAGCATGACTATTTGCTTGTAAAATGCTGTGAATTTAGAGAAAACACATCTTTTGAAAATCCATAAATAGTGTACTGAGGTAGGCTTTACAAAATTAATCCATTATTTCTGAAATTAATTGATAATGTTTAGTGGTTGTCTACAGCATTCTCCAGTCCTTTCTCATTCAGTATATTAAACTGCTTGAACATAGCAAGTACTGAGGTTATCTATTCCAAAAAGGATATTAAAATCAAGTGGCAACTTTTAAATCCAATATGTCTCATTATTTTTAATTTTAAAAGTTATTTAAAATAGCAAAGGAGATACGGCAATGATCTTTTTTTCAAATGCAAAGACAGATATTAATGCAACAATTGTGGTATTTATGATTAGCTATTTCAGTGTTAAATAGGAATGAAGCAAAAAAATGAAACGTTGAAATATGTTGGTTGTTGAATGGCACCAAATAGAAGACCACTTCTGTTATTCAGACTTGTGTGGAAACAGACTGCCTCAGAGCTTTACTTGTGCCTATATACATGTATGCTCATATCATATCAACCCAAGCTGATTAGGCAACCTTTCTGGGAGAAATATCAGAACAAGTTTTTCTCCTGGGGGGAGGGTAAAAAAAAAAAAAAAAAGAGTAAGTCTTCACTATCAAATCCATGAACAGACTAGCCATGGCATCTCCTTGACTAAACAGTGAAGGAAGTGAGTGTAAAACAGGCAAAAGGAATTCTTAGACCCAGCTGATGTAAAGGACCCGTGTGGTGACCATATCTGAAAGTTGCGAGAGAGAAAAGTGAGAGGTACCACTTATGTCTGCCCACCCCAACTCATCCTTCATGTCAGTACACCCTCAGTCCTCTTGGTCACTGTGAGCACAACACCTCCTTCTTGTCCCTCTCCTGTTCATGAGGATTTGAGCCTCATGGACACACCAGACACATGCTCTTTGCTAAAGCTAGACCATTCCCACTGGCAGTTAAATCACTGCTAGATCAAGGACTGAATATATAAGTGCACAGATGTATCTCTTGGCTGCAAAATGATTTTATGTCACCTTTCCATGCTGCTCACTTTCAGTCCTGGAACAAACCATGAGAGGCCTCGTAGTCGAACAGCCACAGCTCTAAATTATACTACCAAGTGATAGCCCCATAAACAGACGTTATACTAGCTGAAAAATATCATTGGACAGCGTGTTCCTGTTACATCCTAACCCTCTGACACCATGGGTGCCTGCTCACAGAGCCATCCATACCAGCTCTGAATTTCTGGCTAGATGTTTAAGTGAGCACTTGGAGCAGAGGCTTGGTTCGCAGGGCCCAGTCTAATTTCTCTGAATACCACTGTACAGGTTTAAAAGAACACTTCAGCTAAACCACACAGTCTTTAATGTTTTATTTCTAATGGGTTGGAGTTGCAAGGAGGTGCTGAGTCATCTTAAAATCAGTTCTCTCCTTTCTCCCACAAAGTCACAAGAGCTGAGAACACCATGTATTGGCCTGGCGACTGTATTGCCAAGAAATGAAGTATAATTTTATGTGATGCAACTGCATTAAGTAAACTGAGGCCCTTAAATAAGGAGAGCTTTACTCATCATGGTTTAGATGCAATAACAAGATTAGTGGAGATTATCTTTGATAAATGAGCCTAAGGAGGTATATGTAGTCTGTTTCTCACTTCTGCTTCTGTTTTGCTGATGGTTTGAAAGAATAGAGCATCAGGAAATCATTTAGCAAGTGGCAAAGGTTCATTCATTCTGAAGGTCTTTGAGATTGACACAGTGAACGTGTGTAATGCAGCAGATCTCATTATGCACCTCAGCAGCATGTTACATGCATGAGCTCATGCATTTTACAGAAGCAGACTGCAAATACAGAGTGCAAATAAAGCATATGTGAAACATTATTTATTGGCATGGTCTTGCTCCTACAGGGTTTAATAGTGAAGCTCTTTATAATCTGCCGGAATTTTTCAGTGGGCTTTTGACCACAGTCCCATAATCATCAGTTCTCCTGGCCACCCTGCACCTGAGAAACAGCAAAATTTAACTTCAGAATAGCTCAGCTGTCACCAAAGGGCCGTGTAGAAAGCCACAGTGTGGAGAAGGATTTCTTCATGAGCAAAAGACCAGCTGGACTCTCTCCTGGGAAGCCAGTTGACACCTACTGTATGGTCAGCCAGGGTGTAAGTCTCTAAGAGCCACGCTGCTGTGCCTCAGAGTCTGAGACACGCTTCAAACCTTTGACACATATTACAAAAATATATTGCCTCCAGGTCACCAGGCTGCCGATAGAAGACTAGGTTTGTAGTGTCATTACAAATCCTAACAAATTCTGCTTGATGATTTTTGGCTGCAATAAGATTTTCGCTAACTTAAAAAAGATCTTCAGCTGCTGCATCTGTTGGAGCCCCAGAAGACTTACCTGGAAATACACTTCTCCTTCCATCAGTATGACTGATGAAGCTGCTATTCTTATCCACACTGAAGAAATTACCTGTTAATATTTTTATTTATTTATTTATTTTCTGATTGGACTTCTGTTATGTCAGTCAGTCCTTGGTTCTGCCACTGCCTTCAGCCTTACCAGTAATGAGTTGCCAGACGTGAGCTTGAGTTTCTAAGTTTGGTAAGATTTGATACTACATGTGCTAACAATTGTACTCTTTTTTATTATTATTTTTTTTATTTTCTAGGGGGATCCTGGGAACTTTGTTAGCCCTGTTTATTATTGGATGGTGCAGTTTGTCAGCGTCCAAAATTTTTACCTCTGCCTTGGCCATGGAAGGACAGCAGCTTCTTATTGCATACCCATGTGCTTTACTGTATGGACTTTTTGCACTTCTGGCAGTTTTCTGAAGTGTATTTTCTGATAGCCTTATTACAGTTTGTTTATGGTTGTTGGAGGGCTAAGAAGTTATTTATTTATTTTTAGATTGCCTAGAATTGCATTAAGTTCTATTAACAAAATTAGATTATGCAACTTACCTTTTATTTGCCTAATGGCTTGTAATAAAATAATAAAAAAATAAGTAACAGGTATATGACTACATTGCTGATGTTTTGAAAATCCTATAGCATAGAGAAAAATGTTTGTATTGAGAAGGTACTAAGAGCAAACAAATAAATAAATGTTAATTTTTAAAAATATATTGTCTTCTAAATGTTTAATATATCTAATACATTAAGCAGAGAGTAACTGGAAGCAATAACGCAAATATTTAATGGACCTAGTAAATCAAGTGAAAATACATATTTGTTTCACAAAAAAAAAAAAAAGAAAAAAGAAAAAAACCCTGCTTATATGATTATTAATAATGTTACTGAATTTATATGATTTTATTATTTTTATTTTTAACAGAAGAGTGAGTGGCTCTGCTTTGTGATGTTGAAGGATTGTTCAAGCAACAGGAAGAACAGGTTGCTACAACAGAGGAAGGAAACTAGGAATGTCATCTTGTTTTATTTTTAAGAGGTGTTGCTGTCCAAAACATTATTGTACTGTTTTTAATGTACAGTAATGTTACATTTTAGAATTGCCACTAAACCACCGCCTGCTGTCACTGCAGAAAAGCACCACACAAAGCAAATGCAGCTCCTAAAAATGTCTCCTGAAAGGCAGAACTGTATTTAAGCAAGCAAAATACAAACCTCCACAATGTTATCTGCCCTCCTGCCTCCTCTCCCCGCCCCCCCCCCCCCCCCCCATCTATTTGCTGCTTTCAGTATTACAGGAACCCAACATTTTTATAATAGCAATCAAGCACAGAATACACAAGATGATGTTTCAAAATATAATAGTAGAAGTATCAAGCCATCCAGAGGAAACAGAGATGTGAGTGCAGTCATAACAAGTGAAAAATCCAGCAGGCGGTGGTAGAGAAAATGAATGTAGCTGTAGAAAAGGCTAGGGAAAAGAAATAAATGAAATAAAGGGAAATATGAAGGAAATAAATGGCAGCAGACTATTTCATCAGTGTTTTAGTGTGTCTTCTTTCTTGATTAATATTTTTATGATTTTAATTATTCTCCCATTTAGTCATTATTTTGAGCTGTTTAGTGAAATGCCTGCAAAATATTTCTCTGTCTAGACAGAGGACCAGTGATTCAGTAAAAGAGTCCTGGTACAGCAAAAGCACTTATGCAGAAGCTTAACATGAAGAAGCTGCTCAATAATATGTGGAAAGAACTCTCTTCCTAATCTTTTTCATCCTTTTCAGGTCAGAGGTAAGTTAGATAATCAGTTTGTCCTCACACTAGTGATTCTGTTTCTGAATTGAAAGTGCCTTTGGTAAAAAATATTTCCCATTGCTCCCATATTTGTTTTTTTTGTTGTTGTTGTTGTTGTTTTTTTTGTTTTGTTTTGTTTTGTTTTTTTAAGAGCGCTTGTGGAAACCTTTTTGGAATTCATTGTACTAAACTCCAGTGGAATTAATTCATACAAGTGGTCTTAAGAAGTAAACAAAAGATCATGTGTACTTAACCAATCCTTAAAAATCACAACTCATTTATATAAAAGGATTTGTTGAATTTACCTATGTCTTTGTTGCAAGGCTAGGAACACAGGTGCGGAGAAGTAATGCTGGACATATAACCTTGGCAAACTGTGGATATACCCTAGCAAACTCTGGATATAACTACACAGGATCTAGCTGTGTATAAGTGGGAACATCACAAATTTAGAAGATCAGCATATGTGAACACAACAGATTTGGCCCTGCTGCATTAGGGAGTAAATTTGCCACTAATGAGGTGCAGAAAAACACATCAAGTGACTCAAGGGTATGGTTATAAAATCAGACAGTTTGATTTACTATGCACTAATGGCATTCTTACTTCTGAATAGGAAAAGATTGATATGGCTTCACTTCTGGAGTTCATAAAAGATTGTTGAGAAACATTCAGATCCACTTTTGTTCCACGCTTCATATTACCATCCATACAGACTAAAACAAGTATAAAATGCCTCTGTTCTACAGCACTTTATATTCATTTTCATCCCAATCTACATAATATGAATGGCAGGAGAACCAGTGAATCAAGCCATCATTTTGTGTTTTGATGTCATAGATGGGTCAAATTACTTACAAAGAAAATGAGCACCTTGAAAATTTCCCACTATATTTACAAAGCAAATGCTAGTCTAGCTATAGTGTTGTTTGTTATTTATTCTCTCAGGATTTATAACATTTTTCTTTCCGTCACCAAGATACATTTGCCTCATTTCACATACTAGCTTCTTAATTTTAATTATTTCCCTGGCTTTACTCATTAGCCATGCTAATTTCCTTTTACCTTTTCCCAACATATTTCCACCAAGTGATATGTACTGGTGCTACCTCCCAGCTTGGTGTCCTTCAGGGGTCTCTATGCCACCCATGAGGCACCTGTGAGGATATAACTCTCTTAGCCATCCTCCTTTGACTTATTTTAAACAAGAATCCTCTTTTTAACATAGTTCACCTTTCTGAAGTTGAACACAGCCATGGTGCTGCTTTTGGCCCCAGTATTCTTGTGGTTCCTCAATCTAAAAATATTATGGTCACTATTACAAGCTGTTACTTTTTCTAAAATAAATGTTATTTTGATCTAAAATAAAACCAGTTCAAAACACATATATTCAGTAACACAATCTCTTTGAGCAGGCCTTCCCACTGCCACCTAGCTTTTCTGTACCTTGTCTAGGCCATCATATTTCACTCCCTCACATCATTCCATGAAAATTTAAATACAAGCCTGGCAAGCTATTGCTTTCAACTTGCCAAAGAGAGGATTATAAAATAGTAATGGGTCAAAGACTGATTTTTAATTCATGCTTCCACCCTGAAAATTTACTAAAACAGAAGACTTAAACATAAGCTTCAAAGAAAAAGGAAAAGAAATACAGTTTTGGAGGGGGAAAGTTGCTGATCTGTCCATGTTTTTTTTTTTTTATTTTCCTCAGCATGCACATGAAAGTTCAATTCTGAATGTGAAATTTGCACACAAAAATGTGTTGTGACTTAGTTCCTTTATTTTTATTATTATTATTTTTTTTTTTTCAAATGGTGGTACCAGCACTGGACCCAGGTGGTACAGAGGACAAAGAATTTGCCTGTCTTCTATCGCATTTGCTGTGTGCCAGATGTCTTCAAGGTCACCCTCAGAAACTAGCCTGCAGCATTTTGCTGTACTCTAAACATTTTGCTGTTGTATTGTGACAAAATGCAGGAGAGTATTAAAGTGAGCATATTGTGAGTGAGGGGAGACTGTATCATTGGCTCAGAGTATGCAGTGATGATAAAATGGGTATCTGAACAGCCACAGCTGACAAATCATCAGGTTGCATCCAGAGAACTGGTCTTCTTGGCAAGCCAAGGCACAGGTTAGTAGTAACAAGGTCCTATTATTTATCAAAAATCATCTTGTCAGATGTCATCTTTAAAAGGTTATAACGCAGGCCTAGAATAGTTTAACTGTTGGTGAACTGAATTGACGATTGAAAGCTGTTGACACAGTAAATTGGGCACATGCTGCACTTCTTGGTGAAATAGCTCCCTTAACAAAGGGACAAAGGGTAATGTTTTCTGTGATATTTTTTTTTTAATATATATATATATACAGGATTATATACAAAAGCAGTGAAACTGATTTCACAATTGCATTGAATATGTCATATGAGAACAAAACATGACAGCTGTGTCTTGTCCTAGACCTCTCATGCCACCTTGTTTATTTTAGTCCCTTGCTAAACAGCAGTCTTTATATGATGGCATTTTCTGTCCACTAAATGAGCTTAAGTGAATTTTGCAGTAATGTTGAATTACTGACCTTTATTCATATCCATAATGGCTATGAGTGAAGGCAAAATTCAATAAATTGTGTCTGCTTTGAATTTCCTTTTCCTCCCCTATTGTCAGGAGCATATTTAGTGGTCAAACTGATGTGGGCTTGTTCATGCCTGGTAGCCAAAAATACGGGTATATATGATAGGTTGCAAGGCAGTGAAGCTGCAACAAGTTCTGGACACTGCTTCTGAGATCATAACATTAGCAATCTAGTGGCCCAGCCTGGAAGATGATGTACATTCTTTCAAAGAAATCAGTGGTTGCAGCATCTGATAAGACTTATGGTGAGTCACTACACATAATGGCAAAGATCACAGGAACATGATGCATTTGGTGGTTATTGTATTTTCTGATAGATTATGAAAAAACACTGGATTGGCAAGGAATGGGCTACTGTTATATAAAGTCTACAAACATAAACTGGATAATTAATGTCAATCTGAATAGATCACTGTAATATGAAACTGACTTTTACCTGTGTTGGCATTACTAATGGATATGTTCCTTTTCAAAATCTGTTCTCTGTCAAAATTTGCCCTTCACTGATTCCATGTTAATTTAGCTGCCTGCAGTGTTTATTCTAAGCAAACTACAACAGTGCTGTTAGAAGTACTGATTTTCTAGCTGTAGGCCATGACTCATGTGGTTAAACAATCTCACCTGCTCAAGGTTCCCGATGGTGCATTTTTAAGAGAGGTCAGAGCATGCACAAGGGCTACATTTTAGTCATGTTTGCCAAGCGATTTTGAAAGAGTAACATCTGTAACAGTGACAATATGTTTGCTGTGATTACCAAGAACATTTATTAGACTTATGGTTTCAACGTTAACTTAAAAATGCCTGGTGACCTTGGTGCTGCACCACCGAACTAGATGAATGATGCAATTCACAGTGATCTACATACAGTTGCATAATAAAGACCTTGGACAACACATCCCCTCTGCTATGGCAGCACTGTAGTTATAATTGAAAAAAATATATATTTATTATCTTCTTTTAGCATGATATTAAGTGCAGTGTTAATGAGTGAGGAGGCCACAGAAATGCCAAACATGCACAACTGTAAACAGACCCCGTGCAAAGTCACCACTTTGCAGAGAACAAGGGGTAGATTTTCAGAGCCACAAAGGTCAGTCCTGCTGAAAGTCACTGAGAGCTGAGCTCGAGTGTGTACTTTGGTGATTTTCCTGACAGCCTCTCGACAAGCACTCCTGAGCAATCAAGGAACAAGGAGCCACCGGGTTGCCACAGTCAGTCTCCTGGGAGACTAATGACCCACGTGTAATTCTGGGTAGAGACAGCTGTAGCAATCAAGCATATGAA